GTGTGTGTGTGTGTGTGTGTGCGTGTGCGTGTGTGTGTGTAAGTTACGAGAGCAGCAGCAGGTTTGGCCCCTGAGGCGATGACAAAGCGATCAAACTCTATGTGTCACATATAAATTGCTTTGACCTTTTTTTTTTTTCTTTTTTCCCCCACCCGACTCATGGCTCGATGGCAACAAGGAACGTTTCACCCAACTGGAAAGAGTGCTCAAGTCTGCAAAACACCAGGAAATGGCAAGTGAGGAAATTAACAGAGGTAAGTGTTTGTCCTCTGCGGGGTCAAAACACACCTCTTTGTTCGCCTTGTGTTGATGATTTTCCAATTTCTGTTTTTTAGACAAAAAGCTTTTAAAACAGAAAAACACACCAAAAAAATCACATTTTCCATTAATGGTTTGATTGTGGAAACATGTTTCTCTGGTTCATGATTCTTGCTTTAACAAGCAAACAGGTCAGCAGTGTTAATTCATTTGCAAAAGAGCTGTCTACTTTTGTAACATTTACCATTACACCTCTTAAACCCAATTACTTAGAGTGGCCATTTTGTTTTGTAGCCCCTGTTTGTCACACTCTTGACCAATTTAACAATTTTCAGTTGTTAATGGCTGCATAAATGAACCTGTTGTCTAAGGTGGCCATCTGGGCAGAAGTCGTGTATATAAATGGGCCTGAAGACACTCGACTTCTGTAGCCATCATCCATGATTACTCTCTTGACCTAATGCAATATTCATGCTTTAAAGGAGGCATGCATCACTTTCATCCTCCTCCACATGCTGCAGCCTGTAATTGAAATTTCTGAAGTGTGGCATGTTTAATAATGGAATTAATTTCCCATGCAATGTGTATGTGATTGACCATGCAGATGCAGCCTGCGATTCCAGAGAAGGGAAATGTAACAGGCTGTGGACCAGATTGTCAGATTATGAGTTTATAACAGAATTATTGGTAATAGCATTGTTCAAGAAGAAATGTATGATCACAATGATAACATTTTAATTACTTTGTATCGTTGTTTTATCACTTCAATGATCTCAATTAGGATCTTTTATTGAATAACAGAATCAATTCCTTCTTCTCAGCTCCTGTTGTCTTGAGCAGCAGTAGTCTACAGTTTTATAATAATAAAATTAATAATATTTTATCTGTGTTTCATTTATTCAGATCTGAACTGTGCTCCGGTTTCTAATAGATATGCTTTTTAAACCTTTTTAATTCCTATTTTTCTGTATAAAAATAGCTTTTTTGGATGATTATTCTGTCTGCTATTAGATATTATGCAGCTGCAGTATTTTTGCTAACACCTATTTTGCTTTTGGACATTTGTTATGATATGTAACAATAGCAACATGGTGATTTGTTTTGACCGGGAGCAGCTGATGAACATCTCAAAAACTAAAATAATACATCAACTTCAGCCCCGAATCCCACGAGTTGAAAAGGAGGTGCCATGGATGCAGAGCAGGAGCAAAGAGGAGAGAGGAAGAGGGAGTTCAAACCATCTCTTCCATCGATCATGATGTGTAAGATTGTTGGAGAACAAGTTGGACAAATCTGTGCCCTAACAAGAACCCAGTATTGGGAATGCAGTATTATGTGTTTCTCTGAGACATGGCTGCATTATTAGATCCCTGACTCCAGCGTCTCCCCGCCAGGCTTTCTGACCATGCGACCATACGAACAGAGTCTTCAGTCAGAGGCTTCTTCAGATCCACTGTAAGACGGACCACTACAGGGGTTCCATCCTGCCCACAGCCATCAGTATATATAACAACTCTTTAAATAAACCAGGATAATACAAGTTACAACAACATTTAATTTTCCCTTTGGGATTAATGAATTATTGAATTGAATTGAATTGAATTTAGTGATCACTACCATTGCAATACAAGTTCCTACCTATGGAGTGTTGTATTTAATGCATTTAAACATGGTAGAAGCTTGTTTCCTAGGAGAGGTTGGGCAGAACTGTGTGTGCAATTGATTTAATGAGATACAAACTAACATAAATGCAAATAAAATGCAACTTTTCATGCACAAGCCATATTGGATTTTTCGCTTTGAGTCAGAATTTCATTCTATTGCAAACAATAGACTGTATGTATGAGTCTGAATACAAAATTGTATAAATTTAAATTAAAAAAGCCAATAGGAAACCTTTGTTTTTTAAAACTGAAAAACAGTACAAGCAAAAATCATAAATAGACTGTAGAAATGAAAACATACTGTATATAGGATAAAGTCATTGACTAATTTGTGACAACCTACTGTAGTGCAGGCACTCCATTCATTTTGGTGCATTGCAGTTGACAGCAAGAGATGAGTTTTTCACAGGGGAGAGGCTCAGAGTACAACAACTCTCCATGTCCCATGCCAGGACATATTAGGCTAATGAAATGTTCACAGGCTCTAAGTGCTTTGTGAAAAGGCAGGTGGTTGAGAAGGAAAAGACTTGTAAAGCTACAGGTAAGAAGAAAATATAAGACTTTGGAAAATGATAAGTCAGAATCTGAATCCATCAGGAACTTCAAATAAAAAATGCACATCAGTTTTAATGTAAATAGCAAATATTTTAAATGGTATTAAGCCTCAAATTCATCCACTTTGGTAAGTGATGCCTCTTATTTTGTCATTAAAGGCAAAACAAGGACATTTTGAGCGTACTCCATATTTTCTCATAATCATACTAAAATATTGCTAAATTTACATTCAACAAGTAAAAGCTTCTGTTTAGATTGCTTCTAATAAAAAACATAAATCGTCCGGACAATAAAAGATGCCAATGTACACAGAAGGTGAACATTTTACTGATCAGAAATGAAGACAAACTACCAACAGAAACAAACAGATCATAAAACAGAAAAAATACTACCAAAAAATGTGAATTCTTCAAAACTGAACTTAGTGAGCAGTTCAACACAAACTGTATGAAAACCTTGTAGAATGAAAACATGGGTTAATGAATGGCATCAAGTCCAAAAATGGGGGTTTAGCTCATTTTAGCTTTTTGTCTTTCTTTGTTATTCTTCATTCTTAAACCAACTTTACTAATTTTTCAGCACCTAGCATTTTCACGGAAAACTCTACGAACAGGTGATGATCAGGGCACTAACAGTCTATTGTTAGGCTGATGGTCCTCTTTTACTTGTGAACAGACGGTGTTGATGTTCATCGTTCAACCTGTTAGACCACCATGTGGAGGCAGTGCTTATAAGGCTGAGCCTCTTGGAGGAGAGATGCAGCATTTCATTGAAGAACCCGTTCAGAGGACCTACTTAATCGTTTTTTGGTTATTTCTATAGTTTGTTTTGCTTATTTTTATGTGACATCCTTGCTTTGCCTAAATTGGTTTGTCAAAACATGTTTTGTTTTTGTCATGAAACATTTTTATTTATTGCGGGTCATGCAAAAAAAGGCTTCTAGTCTTGACTTTATTCAGAAAAAACTATAATTGCTTTATTGCTCATGAATTAAACTTTACAGCTGTAAATTTGTTTTTGGTTCAATGTAATTTAAGACAAATTAGATATAAATGACAACAACAGACATCCTTCACACCCACACGTCAGAATGGTCTGTTAAAAATTCGGAGAATTGTGAGAGCTGTCAAATTTTTTCTCATTTTGTTTGCTGCATCCAGCCCTGAGAATCGGTTCACTTCCTGGAGGTCATCATATTAAAATGCAGTGCCGGTGTTTGCCTTTGTGAAAGGCCTTTCTTATTAAAGTGCCCTCACCTGCTTACACGCCACAGCCCGTAAACAACATGAAGGATGTGGCGAACGCTGCAGCCCCAACATACATTTATTAAATTACACTTTCCAGCCACACGTCAACTTTCTGCTTTGATTCATTCCCTTTAATGAGTTTGCTGATGTGGACTGGCATGCTGTAATGAAAAGGTAAAGACAAGCAAGCAGGAGAGCCATAAATAAGTCTCAGAGCATGAGGAATAATGACAGGAGTTTAATGTCCAATTAGATTAAAAGGCTCTCTGACACAAAAGCAGGATGCTGAGTGCACTGCTCAATGAGCCTGTGAGCGACATTGATTAACGTTAAACAGATCTATTACTCCCATGCTTGGTGCTGATCAACAGCTCTACCTGCCACTTCTCTAACACTATAAATGTGAAAATACTTGTACCTATATATGTTTGTGAGCAGATTTGTACCGCTTAAAGAGATAGTTCAGATCGTTTAAAGTTGGGTTCTGTGGAATGTATGTGAAAGACAAATATCTTACCTGCTGCAGACGGTTCTTTGACAAACCTTAGTTTGAAAAAAATAGTTAGTTCTGACTGAGCTGATGAGCAACAGGTTTCTATTATCTTAAAACAGCTCCAATTCTTTTAAAAATTACAGGATTTCATGCATTTTTTTAAATGTCTACCTTTATCTGCATTCAGTTCAGTTCTGTAGTTTATTGTCATTGTTAAAAACGAGATAATGTTTGAGCATTCACAGCATTACATAGTTTAGTTCAGTTTCAATTCAATTCAGTTTATTTATATAGCGCCAAGTCACAACATACGTTGTCTCAGGGCGCTGTACATGAAAAAAAGAACAATCTAAAGAAGAAACCAGCAGATTGCGTTGAATTACTTCATCACAGTCTCCCATCCTGAGCAAATGGTGGAGAGGAAAAACTCCCTGCTAATCAGGAAGAAACCTCCAGCAGAACCAGGCTCAGGACAGGCGGCCATCTGCCTCGACCGGCTGGTTGAGGGACAGGAAAGAGACACAGGTAAACACAGAAGCACTGGTCCAGGTGCAACTACTTCTGGAAGAGAGAGACAAAAAGAAAAAACATGTTATTGATAGAAATAATTACAATAAACATGTAGACAAAAGAGATTAAAAACAACAGTAGAGTGAAGAAATGTGCTCAGTTTGTGCTCCAGCAGTCTAAGTCTATAGCAGCAGAAATGAAGAATAATTCAGGAAACCTAAGTCTAATTATAGGATTTATCAACATTAACATAGTTAACACAGTATGTTAACATCGTGATAATCATAAAGTGCCCCCAGCAACAATCCTAAAATAATAGTGTACCCAATTTCTAATATCCAATAATACAACCCACAAATAAATAATTATAGACTAACATTGGTAAAGTGCATTTTAATGTTTATTTTAATTTAAGATGCCTCTTTTTAGGCAAAAGACACTGAAAGAAAATAAACTTTTGGCTAATTTGGGTACTTTTCTGTTTGATTCATTTATTAAATCATGTGCACTGTTCTTTAAAAAAAGAA